TCAGAGATAACTGTGTTTATCAGAGCAAAATAGTAGTTTCTATTTCATGACATATTAGCCGCGCCATTACAAAACCAACCTAGTGCATTAGCGACCAGCATGGATCCAGACCATCTTGCGCATCCGCGCAGTCTGATCAGGATCCATGCTGTTCGCTATCGGTTTCTCTACTTGTAATAGGGTTGGTAAGCGAACAGAATGGATTCTAATCAGTTGGTTTTGTCATGGCGCGGCTCATATTAAGACATTCACGAACATGTAATCATCTACCGAACTTTATGTATTATGTATAATAGTTTGTGACAAATCATTAAAACCTAAATTCTCAACTTTGAGCTCTTTTCCGTCGAGAAACATCAAAGGGCGTATCTTATGTTTTTATTTAGTGTTCATCAGGTATGATGTCACCAACTGTCAATTTGAATTAGATAATCAGTTGGTAAATACTATTAAATGCACACATTGCCCCCAGAAATCAGTATTTTTTAATTCTTTAGAAATGCTTAATAAGTGTTTTAATAATGTTTTAATAACTGATTTAGAGCATGTTTGAAAAAATTGGACTGAACATGAAATGATGTGTAGTAAAGGTAGCAAAATGTAAGCAAAGAAGTATTTTGACTTCCATACAAAATACAAATTCATTAAATATTCCATTTGCCAACATAGCAAAATGAACAAAGATATTTAATGCGTAAATGTAAGATACCAAACTATGTTTAGTCGTGTTAAGAGAAATATGAAATATAACACCACAAATGCTTATATGTTTCCTGAATCTGCTGGAAACCAAAAGTTATCAGCTTTTGTCACAAATAAATAGCCTGTATTAATGTACAGTTTGACCAGGGTCTGTATTGTTGGAAGTTCAATTTTTGTATTTTGGTATTGAATGAAATCCTTTTAAGTTTGGATGGACTGATCCAAATTTAAACCTGGGTAAATTCTTTACACAAATAGCAGACGGTAAAGTTAACGTGTGCATCTACCACTTGTTTTTTGGATCTGCTATTTTTTTTATTTTTTTTTGGGGGGGGGGGGTATCATTATCAAAATTACAAAATTAGAAAATGGTCAGCCAACAATATAGAGTATTGTCTCTTCATTGGTAGCTCTAAAATGTATTGGCGGTAAAGGCTATAACTCTTTCGATTGCAATAGGGAAGTCTATAACCAACTAAATCAAACGGCGTCGGTACTTCACTTATTTCATTAATCACGAACGATCACCTTGTTTTTTCAGAATTGATTTCTATAAGCTCTAAACTAGCACACTGATCAGTGTTTTCTAGCCGCATTATTCATGCTGTGAACAATATTAAAGTCATAAATTATTGAAAGCATCATTTTTGCTAGCGTTTTCTTAATATGATTGTTAAGTTTTTCGTTCAAAATCGATTTGAACAGAAAGAATCCATTACTGCTTAACATTTGTCCCAATGGGATTAAGATATGCTACCAAATCAGTCATTTATTGTTTCAGTTTAATATTAAGTTAGAGGGTTTTTTTTTCAAATAAAATATCAACTTACTAAATATTTCGCAAAGTAAGTGTTGTGCACACCGCAATATATCCACCCCCATTAGTTAATAACCTGCTTAATTTCCGAAGAAATTGTCCGTCTTTAATTTTTTGCGACTGTCCATTATCAATTTTGGGAATGTCAAGAAGATTATTTGAAGTTTGTAAGGGTATCTGAATAGTGCCTGATTATACTGCACAAATGTGCTGGCTGGTTTGGCTCTTAATTGGTGGAAAAGGCTAAACCCTTTAAGGTCAAGGTTCAATGCTCTATATGACACGTATATAATCCATTACTTTGTCACAATAACAAAGATTAACTTGATTCCACGGCGCTCAACTTTTATACATATTTTTGCTCTATACCTTTCGATCAAATAAAGACCTATACATATCGCAATATTCGTAAAACTGGTTACCGAAACACAAAGTACATGGCCCTAAATGGCAGACAAAATATTTATTTTGGTGTCTTTGCAAGGAGAAAAAGTTCACCTCGGTTAGTCGGAAAAAAATCATCAAAACAAACTAAATGTAGCAGCATCCCAGAGGGAATAATTGTCATTCATAGTTGATGTACCATAGTATAACTCTAAATAATTAACAAATATACCTCCCTCAGTGTAATTAAACATTTTTATAGCGATGTGCCAATTGCATTTTAGTGTCAGTTATATGTTGAAAAAGAGGTCATGAATGACCAACTGGCCGACAAACACTAGTGTAAGAAAGCGTTAAGCAAATATAATCAATATGGATAAATTGTTTATTTTACTGGCATGTGTTACAGCATACAATATGAACATATTTTTACAAACTAAAATAAGTCAAAAACCGGCCCCATGGAGGCAACAGGTCATTTAAAATAATAGCACATATGATCAAATGCTACGGAAGAACAAATGTTAAGTGTGAAATTTATGAATATAAATGATTTTGTCTGGTCTGAAATGCCTTAACAATAAATTTTGCAGAATAAAAAATATTTAAGTTTTACGAATATTGTTATTAATTAATAGACATTATTTTTCTTCATTTGATTTATTTAAAAAGCAAATGCCTGGAAAGAAATTTCCAAATAGTTCGCTGTATAATGTACATTAGAGTAAAAGTGTGTTTCATCATCAATTTCATTACTATGACACTGTGTGCATCTTCTATCATGTAATTGCTCATATGTTATCCAATATTTAGGATAAATGATGCATTCTTAAGCCAACGATACATATATTTCTCTTTTGCTAAATTCAGTGCTTCATAGAATTCGTACTCACAAATAAAGTATTAGTGTCATACAGAACTTCCGTGCATGAAAAGGCGTGGTTTGAGTTAAGTAAAAACTGATTCGTTTATGCCATTTTATGACAGAAAGTTAATTTTAATCAGAATATAGACTTACAATACGGTTATATATGATACAGCACGACCAAACTGCTTAGCTGATCATAAAATATATGCTTTAAACTCACTAGGCCATGGCTCTTTTCCGGGGTTTTTTTTCGCCACAACTTATGGTGAATTACAAGCAATGGAAGCATAGCCAGAAAAATATTTGAGCCGCGTCATGACAAAACCAACATAATGGGTTTGCGACCAGCATGGATCCAGACCAGCCTGCGCATCCGCGCAGTCTGATCAGGATCCATGCTGTTCGCTTAACAACTCTATTACAAGTAGAGAAACTGATAGCGAACAGCGTGGATCCTGATCAGACTGCGCGGATGCGCAGGCTGGTCTGGATCCATGCTGGTCGCAAACCCATTATGTTGGTTTTGTCGTGACGCGGCTCATTTTACCTACGTATATTGTTGTGTTTGCTGGTAGATTATCGTCGCCAAGTTCATTCGGTTTGCAATAAGACCAATTAACGCAATTACATTACCAGCATGGAAGGTGATTTAGTTGATTTCAATGTGTCATTGAATCTCTACCATTCAAACTGCCTGTCCCAGCTTTCTCTATTGACATCTCAATGTAGCATTTTTTTATGTTTTCAAGAAAGTTATTGATGTGTTAAACTTAAAACAGACACACAATGTTTTTTTGTTGTCAAATATTTAATAGGAAGCTGAAGGATTAATGTTTGGCTGGCATGCTTTTTAAAAAGATCTGCCTATTTCATTATGTATTATATACAACATATCGATGTTCATCCATACATATGCATTATCGGATTAATCGCGCATATATTGATAGTTTTTCTTTATTAAGGTACATAAGTCGTAACAGATTAAAACCAATAAATTTTATTTCCCCCATGAGGTCACAATCAATTCCTTTTACTGAACTGAAAACATTACATTCTTTTATTCTAGAAATACTGTAAACGATTAAATATTGGCCGCGTTATTTTGGTTTCGTTTTATTGACATAACAAATACTTTGGTTTTAAATATCAAACTGTTAACAATAATGAAACGCAAATAGAGCAATAATGGAATGAATCAAGGTTTGAAGCGGTAATGAAATATTAAAAACTTCTCCATACATTTGATATTCAAGTAAATTCTGATATTGATCAATACACGAATAGGACTTTTTCGTACAGCACAATATCAAAGGATTTACTTGCATGCAGAATTGAATGGAAACTTTGAATATATAATATAATACCTACAAACAAACAAACAAACAAAAAATGTTTTCTATTATTATATAATGTCCATATACTTGCCTTTCAAATGGTCCAAGCTCTTAGCTCAATTTGGAGAAATACAGCATTTGTTATCCAGGGTCACTCTTTCGGTTCTTAGGCAAGGCGTAATTTATCCTTGTGTCTCTTATTAGATAGAAAACATATGGGATAACTAATCGGTCTCGTGCTTAGTGATAACTGGTAAGTTTTATTTCTAGGCTGCTGGTCTAACTAAAAGCCTGTTAGGTGGACCTACAGCTAAGAAATGACAATTGGCTTAAAAGCAACAAACAGACACACAAACAAGTATGGAATAGGTTCACATGGATGTCGTTTTGATTAAATCGTATGTGACAGAATACTATCTGGGATGTGTTGTTTGAACAATACTCCCGCTTGTTAATCTTGGACTGCATATAAGGCTGCATTTACCTATAAATGCTTCCTTTAGACTGGACTCATTTTAGTTATCTAAATATTATAATTTTGACTGAAATCAAAACTGGTACAAAAAAAACAGTGTCAAATTTTCAAATTTTGTAAATGTTTTTCACATTAAATAGTGCCTTGGTATAGAAAATGGTGAACCTAAATAGATGCACGAGAAAACTATGCAATATAATGATTAGATAAAGTTATACATTGTAAAATGTTTCAGATTGTACATGTACAAAATTTTTAACATTTTTTAACCAAGCACCAAGTTTTTTTTAACATATAATAGTATATAAAGTAATAATTCAATCTTAATAAAGTAGGAAGGAAACACAAACAAATATTCATTATCATTGTAATTTTTATCATAAAAAAGGTAACTTGTTTTTTTTTTCTTTTTCTTTACAGTCTGTATGTAATATGGCGAGCGAGAACGTTATCGATGAAATTGATAAAGAACTAGCAAAACAAGTCCCGTCCAAAACCAACATGCTCAACGGTCTTGCTGAGGAAAGTAATGCTTATGAAAAACGTGACAGAGTTGGCGAGATAGCCGATAGAATCTTCCTTGAGATGGACTCCGATAAAGATGGGTATATCACGCTTGAAGAATTCAGAGACGGTGCCATGAAAATGCCAATGGTGATCAGTCTCTTAGATAACTGTTTTGATTAAGTGATCTGTGCTGTTAGGTTACACATGAATTACGTGATTATGAAACCTTTGATTTTTTTTGGCTCAAAATTTATTGTTGCTATTTTATGTGCGGCATTCTGATAATATCACCATTTAACAAAATAGGTTAATTTCTAAATCACAACATGGTTTGGACTAGATATTATCTGAGGGGAAAAAGACCAGTCACTAAACAAGAAAGACATTAAATTAGTCGCCTGACTTAAAATGCAACGAACATGATAGAAGTAGAAGACTTGATTAATTTGTTAAGTTAGTAAATTTACATTAATCTTGTGCAGTTTTGACAAAAAGAAAGGTGTTACAAGAAGCTGTATCTAAAGCGTCAAAACCTTCATTAAATGTTCATAGATTCATTATATTTTATATTTATATTTGATTTTTCTGAAAGCATAAACAGAGAAATACATACATTTATATAACGACAGTGAATTCAAGTGAATAGGAATGGATTTTGAAGACAAACAATTCTTAAGCGGAAATATGAATAAAAAGTAAGGGGGTGAAAGATAAATTACCTTCAGGATGGACTAGTTATTGCCTTTTGCTTTGATAATGTCTTGAGGATGTAACTTTGTGTTAGAAAAACTATTATGTGGGCATTGTGATAAGTAAACTGTACATTTTTATGTGAAGTATTTATTACTCAATGAATGCAATAATGTGAACATATGTAAGCCTATGTTCTCACATCAAGATGGAAGTTGGAGTTATTTAACGACCATGTTGCATCTTCACTGTGCAGCATGAACAAGTTTAGAATATGTTTCAATATTGAGAGATTGAATGTGAATAGATCTTTTTTGTTATTGTCCTTGGTGATAACGGAATCAATGTGTCGTTTAAAATGTATTTTTTCTACTACAAGAGAGATGAATTTCAATTGATTTTACCTTGTAATATCATTATCACTCTGTAACGTTGACAAACCAGCTCTGTTTAATGTATCAGGACAACATGATAATCTAATTGGCAATACTGAATAGCGGTTGACATATTTCGACAATAATTATATTTAGAGAAAGCAGCTCCTTTTGAGTAAAGTGCGATACATTATCGTAACTGATGGATGTTAACGTAAAGAAGCAAAGATTGATTAAGAAATTTTCAATATAATTTGGTTTTGGCTAACGTTATATTTTGCTATTCTGTTTGTTTTTGATAAAAGTATTCAGAATATGCAATAACAGCGAAAATTTTGTATTTGCATATGTATATATATTTATATGCCACATTCTTTTTATGTACTGAACTTTCGGAGGTTAACAGCCGGGATAGATCTGACAATTATTTACAGAACAAATAATATAACACAGAGAGCCAGGTGAATGGTACTTAAGTTACCGGCTGAACTTAACGAAACAACCACTTTAATATTTAGTATATGTTTTAATATTGGTATTTTTAAAATATCTCTTAAAAATGTTGTTTATTCGAATGTTTTCAATTCTTGAAAAATAAACGGTATGAAACAATGCATAGATATTCTACTTTAAATTTGTGAAATTTTAGTTATATATTTAGTACTGTATCAAGTGTTGGCAAATTTCAACATATGAATACCATAACACAGATACCTCTCATCCGCATTGCTATTTTCCGAACAAACTACTTAACATGGAATAATTTTGTAGCACCTTAATAGGTATTTATTATAAGTATTTATTATGATAGCCTCCAAAAAGAAAAATGGGAGACTACCTTTCTATACCAATTTTATCAGGCACGGTTAATATGGAGTGGAAGGGGCAAAGGTGATATTATGCTACTTGATTTATTTGATATTAGAGGACGCAACACACGTTTTTAATAGAATAAAAGTAACAAATTTGAAAGATATTACATAATTGGCTGAAAAGCTGAAACAATGAGTACTTTCATTTGACATTTTCAGGTATATAATGGACGTTGCCTTTTTGTTATTAGGTTACTCAACAAAAATAAAATGAATGGGTCATAACAGCTGAATGATAAAAAGCACAGAAGAACATTTGAACATTCAATGAAGTACTACAAATGTATATTGTAGAGGCATACACGATCTTTGATTTGATAGGAAAATATGTATTTTTGATTTCATAAATGAAAAAGCAAATGTTGGTGATCATCATAATTAATCTGTTGCTAGGGACAAAGCTTATTCTTCTATATTACACATCTCCAATCTATGGATCAAGTAAACTTTCAAACAAACGATATCAAGTGAGCATGTTGATAACAAAATACATGTATAATAATCTATTTAGCACGAAGAAAATGCAACGGCCGCTGTGGTGAAGAGGTAAGCATACTGGATAGGGAATTCCAGGGACGCATTGTTCGTGTCCCGGCCGCGGCGTGTATAAATATATGATAATGAAAAAATAAAGACCAATTGTTCGTGTCATAATTATGTGTATAATTTCTCGCTCATGACTTTCTTTCTTTCATGTATATAAATATATATACACACACAATAATCACACGAAAAATTGTCAATATATATTTAATTGTCTCATTATTATATACAGTTATGAATGAATGGTTTAACAAAACATTTATAAGGTATGGATGGCCTTAATGATATATACATTCGAAGTGATAGAACAAAAAAGTTAAGCTTGTCCTACACAGAAATGATTATTTCATGACAAGTTGCAGTTACGAAGCATTTTATGCTATTAGAATGATCCTCATGGGTACTGCAAATTCTAACAATAAAAATGACTTACTTTCGTTAATTTATTTTACTGGTATTGACTGTTGCATCGTTAAAGTACACATGACCATCAAAGATAAGTTAATGATTTATTACAATAACAGTTTAGTCAATCGTTTACGATTATATGACGCAATTATGACGCTGTACTCGTATGGACGCTGTACTTGTAGGGACGCTGTACTCGTAAGAACGCTGTACTCGTAGGGACGCTGTACTTCACCCACTTGCTGTGCCAAGAGAAAAGAACGTGCATATATTCTGAAAGATGGGCCGGCTGTTGTAACCGCACTTGTCGAATGGGTAGAATCAGTTGATGCCATCAGGCTAAGTCTTTATTTCGTTTAAGAATATAAAAACTATTGTTTTATTTCCTGAAAAACTCATAGAGTATGTGAAAATTTGTATAAATACTTACCGTAACATTTTCAATATTGAGCATATTTTTGCCTTGTCCTCTCCAAAAGAACACAGCAATATTTTAAGTGAAAATTTATAACAAGTTGTTTTAAAAATAAACATGTTTGAAATAAAGCAAAACAAACAACAACAACAACAACAAAAACCAATTAAATAAACTACTAACATTTAAACATGACGCATACTTAACTCTACAATAATTTGAATTACATGTACATTTTTAATATTGAGCATGATTTTGCCTTGACCTCTATCACATAAAGAACTTAACAATTATAACAATATTTAAAGTAAAAATTAATGACAAGTTGTCTAAAAATAACCATGTTTGAAATAAAGCAACCAAAAAAAAAAATGACACATCCTAAACGCTTTCATACTCTGAATAAGATTAGATAAATCAAAGTATCTTTATAGCAATATGAGTGATTGCTTTTAAATTATTGAGAAGGGAGTAAGAGCATGATTGATAATGGTTTTCTTTAGATATATTATAATGTAAGACTAGAGAAACTAACTATATTTAATAGCAAACTTCATTAATGAAAAATGATCCGCTTGGAAACTTTATATTTCTCATAACCTTGGTCATCTTTTTTCTTTGTAGTTCCCAGGGAAGCTGCAAAAAGTAAAAATATCCAGTGCTTACAAATGACCAATGGGGACGTTTCAACTTCACGATTTCAGCTTCGTGAATTCACATTGTGAACTTTTCAATTTCTCAAAGCTGAAATTGTAAATTCATGAAGGTGAAATCGGGAATTCATGAAGTTGAAATCGCGAATTCATGAATTCGGTTTGTTGAAAACCAAGTTAAAATTGTGAAATTCAATTCAAGAAGATGTTATCCGGAATTCATGAAGTTGAAATGTCTCAATCGGCCTATCGTACGCTTTATGCACCTGTTTATGATTTGATTTATATTATTGTAAAAAAGCATCATTGTTTTCGTACAATTCTAACTAAGATTACATTTTTATTCTCGTCACATGATTGATACTAAATATAGTTTCTTATTCAATACTTATTCCAGGGCTTCCATTAAGTTTCAAAATTTGGAAGTCAGATAGATACTGAATCATGTAGGTAGAAGAGGAAAGGCATTATAGACTGGAAGTCACAAGCCAAGATCAAGGACAAACTCTCAGAAACGGAAGCTCTGTTATTAACAACAACAAATAATGTAATGTCCTAATTGACATTTGTGTCGACTTCAACTGTTATTCATCAAATGAACCATTGACAAATCCGATTACCGTACCAAGTTTCTTCACGAATGACATTCTTTTTTGCCATATGTTACAATAATGTTCCGCCATAAAATCATCCCTGACTTATTTGAGATACGTTAAAACACTTGACCCGGATCGGTAATAGTTTACAGTTCCATATACATATATATACATGTATGTTTATGTGCGTGCGTGTGTGAGTGGTCATATTTGCGCAAACACATTGTTAGAATCACTGAGTAATGCGTTCGTAACGTGTATCTTAAAACGTTTATTTTGTAAACTTTGGCGTCTTTGTACACGTAAATGAAACGAACCTTTATCTTGTAAAAGATCCCGTGTAAAGGACCAGACTTGATAATCAACATGCAATTCATAAAACTGGTAATAGACGTAAAAGATACTTGTATTGTCTTACAGTTGACAGTTGCTTGTGAATAAAAAACAGTAAAGTACAATAGTTATGGCAAAACCTTACAACCAAAAGTTTCAGAGTAGTTCATGCATTTGAGGAGGTTGAAAGTTAAAAGAAAAAGGATGGCCTTCGGATCATCTTGCGTCAAACAAAGTTGGCTCTATGCTTCTTTGTAATTGTTTTTTTTATTTATTATTATTTGTTGTTGTTTTGTTGCTGCTGCTTCTTGCAGGAAATCAATACACTTTGCTTTCACACATTTGGAGTAGACTGGCGTTGGCGCAAATTGAGCTACATAACAGTAAAGTCACCATCTTTATCAAACAAATCATGCTACAACAATGTACTTATACAGACATATTGTTCATTACACCATTCTTACAGCTTATAGGATATAATAATGGTAAGGTATAAACAAATGACCATTTGGCCTACAAATTTGCAGATTCTCTTGCAAGGGAATCCATACTGTCAGTGCCTGAAGGGTAACCCTCATTAAGCATGGATAACCAGCCAACTAGCCTGGCAGAGTAAAAATTAGTTGAATCATTTTGCCCAAACCGTGTTTGTAGTTCACGGTCGGCACCTAAGGCTAAAAAATTCAGTGAATAAGTTCGTACGTTAACTGTATTATCCGACACGAGTTATAATTCCCCAAAATGGCAATAAATAATGTTATTG